GTTTGGGATGGTTGGGGATTTGACTTCCAGTTCCTTTTGAAACTATATGGGGAACGTCCAAAGCACCGGGCTTAAAACCACCAAAATAAAACGCCGCTGACCAGCAGAATCATTCGATCGGCTCAGGTTCAGCAGCCAGCTGTGCCCTTTGGCCTCAAGTCTCGTGCAGGTTTTGGCATACCATGCACGCCAGGCGGTCTCAAAAGCGGGGCCCATGGTCCAAAAAAGCAGGGCGGTGTGTGTGTGTGTGTGTGTGTGTGTGTGTGTGTGTGTGTGTGTGTGTGTGTGTGTGTGTGTGTGTGTGTGTGTGTGTGTGTGTGTGTGTGTGTGTGTGTGTGTGTGTGTGTGTGTGTGTGTGTGTGTGTGTGTGTGTGTGTGTGTGTGTGTGTGTGTGTGTGTGTGTGTGTGTGTGTGTGTGTGTGTGTGTGTGTGTGTGTGTGTGTGTGTGTGTGTGTGTGTGTGTGTGTGTGTGTGTGTGTGTGTGTGTGTGTGGTGTGTGTGTGTGGTGTGTGTGTGTGTGTGTGTGTGTGTGTGTGTGTGTGTGTGTGTGTGTGTGTGTGTGTGTGTGTGTGTGTGTGTGTGTGTGTGTGTGTGTGTTTGTGTGTGTGTGTTTGTGTTGTGTGTTTGTGTTTGTGTTTGTGTTTGTGTTTGTGTTTGTGTTTGTGTTTGTGTTTGTGTTTGTGTTTGTGTTTGTGTTTGTGTTTGTGTTTGTGTTTGTGTTTGTGTTTGTGTTTGTGTTTGTGTTTGTGTTTGTGTTTGTGTTTGTGTTTGTGTTTGTGTTTGTGTTTGTGTTTGTGTTTGTGTTTGTGTTTGTGTTTGTTTGTGTGTGTGTGTGTGTGTGTGTGTGGGTGTGTGGGTGTGTGCGTGTGTGCGTGTGTGCGCGCGTGCGCGCGTGCGCGCGTGCGCGCGTGCGCGCGTGCGTGCGTGCGTGCGTGCGTGCGTGCGTGCGTGCGTGCGTGCGTGCGTGCGTGCGTTAGTGTGTGTGCGTGTGCTCCGAAGACAGCCCATTGTGACAGTTGACGTGAAGCCGTCCTTATGCCTTTGCCCTTTTAGAGAGTACTTTGCCACGAATGGTCAACCCAAAGAAAGAAACCCTTCTTCTATGATGGCGTTGCACGCACTGGGGAATAGAAGAATCCAAGCCACAGCTGAGCCACAATCAACACCTGGGTGGATGAACGTCAGCAAGGGGCAATCCCAACCATAAGTAGTTGCGGCCGCCTTCTTAATTCTTTACGTGGTTCTGGGTAGACCATGTTGATACCGGGTTTTGATTATGACTCTGCAGTTGCAACGGAGATTGAATCGGACGTTCGGGGGCTAAGCGATTCGGGCTTTGACCTGTGGCCATTTGAGGTCCTGGAGACATGGCCTGCCTTTCTGCGGCGGACGTTGCGGAGCCCGTGCTCAGCTTTACCAACATGTCGCCACTGCGCCAGGTTGGATTCATTCCACCGGAACAGCCATGGTTCAAAACCGTTTTGGTGCCATTTTGGGATAGGCGAATTCACCAGCCATTTTGGGACCTATAGTGGGGATCGGGATGTTCACTGGGGGTACAGGGTTTTGATCCCTGGCCAAACATTGGTAGGCAGCTAGGCAAGCAGGTAGGCAGGGTAGGTAGGTAGGTGGGCAGGTAGATGTACTTCTCCGTTCCCTGTTCAACAAGAAGGCACAGCTCTCCGTGTGACTGTCCGATTGAAATAGCACATCTTCGAAAGCCAAGAGGCTAGAGAAGGTGAAGCGATGAGTTGTCCATTTTAAGCTTAGTGAGTTTTGGTGCGGGTCAATGCAGTCGTTTTTGTTGAGGCCAGTCCCTAAGAGCAACGGCGCCTGAGCTCCCGCCGGCTTCACAGTCCTGATTTTGTTGGCGATGTTCTCCGTTCTACCCCCTTACCTTGCTGGTTCGATAGGCAGGGAATGAGAAATGGAATGACCCCAAGAAAAGCCCTCCCCGATTTGGTTTCCTCTAATTGTTTCCCAACACTCTGACTCTGCGGATCTGAGGATAATGAGGCCTAATGACCGTGAACAACGCCTGAGTGAGCCTTGGCATGACGAGTTGGCGGCCCCTTTTAGTGTCCCACTACGCAATACACTTATGGAAAAATATTTGAGGGTCTCCTCATTTTGAACAACCCAACGTGTTGTATAATCCGGGTCCAGCATCTTTATAATCGAGAGGGTATGGATAGCAGGAAATCTGAATTCACTGTAGAGGCCAGACCAGCCAAAGGGGCAGTGCGTCGTGGCTTTCCTGGTATTGGCTCGGACAACCAAGTAGAAACGCTGAATGTCTGTATATTCGTATATCCCACTACAGCTCTGGGGGTAGTGGTTTGGAGGTAGTGCAAACCATCTTAGAAGGTAGGTGCAGACTGCCCGCACTCAGGTACGACTCTCTGTTGATATGCGCGGCTCAACCTTTTCCATCATTGACGAAATGAATTTCTACGGAGCGTCCCGGCAGAATGAGAGGGCCTGCCTGATTTTCCGCTTCAGACATCCCTCCTGCTGCAAAAAGAAGGGAAGGTCCAACAATGTGCACCCGGCGCGGCATTCTGCTGCCAATCCTCCTTTTCCAAGACTAAGCACCATCACTGGTAAAATACTTCAAGAAAAGGTCACCATGTTGTTTGCTTGTCAGGAGTAAACAGGAAAGCCAGTGAACACACGCAGAGAAAGTAGAGCTCAAGCAGCCCCCACAGCCCTGGGAGCAGGTGATGTGGTTGAAGGTTTGGCTTTTCCAGGGACTTTCCCGACGGGTTGGCCGATTTTGCTGGGATGAATGCCTGTTTTTCATCCAGTGTTCCTGGCGTGTGAAGCCTGTCAAGTTGCAGCAACGGAGCGTTCATTACATTGGCATCATCTCCGCGAAATGGCTAGAGATCATGTGACTGTTGTACACCCTGTTTTTCACGGTTTCGGACATGTGGCAGCTGTGGATGGTTGCGAAATCCAGAAATTGCACCGCCGTTCAGAAACCCTGGAACCATGATTCCCCTGTAAATACCGTAGCAAGCAATTCTTTCAACCATGGTTTCTAAGTAGTGCGAAATGGATTTCGTCCATCCACAGTAGGAGCCAAAAGTCAAAGGCTTGAGCTCTGCAATGGCCCGAGGCCCCAGACATCCATCTGCGGAAAGGCTGGCCGTTTGCGTGGCCTGGCAAGCGCAAAAATCGGCGGAAATCGCGGCGTCGGTTTGCGAGCGCAAGGCTCATTGAAGAAAACTGCATAGATGGCTTTCAACAAACCTCTGCGCCCCTGGTCAAAGGCCTTACTTGGTGGCAGTATGCCTTCTGCCCGCATGAGCTTTGATTGGCCAGCAAAGCCACAAGAACGAAGGGCGCTCATCAGGCGCTCGAGGTTTCAGGTTGGATAGAACGCCTGAGCGCCCGGGTTTTGCAGCCGAAGAGGGGTTCTTTGCGTCATTGAGTGATGGTGCTGAAAAGCAAGCTTTTTCTGACTAAACGCAATGGCGCTCAGAGCGTTGGCCAGGTAGCACAGAGAGTGCTAGGATACGTAGCAAACTGCCCTACGTGAAGTAACAAATGGCACACTTTTGCGAGCGCGGCCATGGTAATCAAGGCGTGACATTGGCCTTGTGGACAATGCCGGTTTGCCTAGTGGCAGTATGTTGCTATCCTGCGCACCCGAGTTTTGTTTGAAGCACTGCTTGCAAGGCCGGCCCGGGGGCTCGCTGATAGCGCCAGTTCCGCAAACACCAACGGTCTGCAAGTCGCCTCCAGGTTTCCAGGCGTGATGCAATCCCGGCGTTTTCGTATGCCCGTGTGAACAGCCCGCGTTGGCAAGAAAGGTCGTCAACCTCTGACGGGCTTGAGAAAGCAAGGCAAAGGTTTATTCCCGAATGCGTAGCGAAGGGTTCTCGTTTATAAGTGGGGGTCTGGGGGTGGAGGCCGTTCAACCGTCCGCAACCGTCCGCAACCGTTCGCGGTGAGGCGAGAAGCGTGTGCCATTGGGATTCGTCGTGGAAGCGCGTTTTTGATGGATCGGCAAGTGCTGTTTTCGTTGGCCCTGTGCGCGAATCATAGCTTCTCAAGCTCGACGTGTCGTTTGCTGCGCAGGCGCAGTGTTTTGGAAAACTGCGTGTTCTCGTTGCCGTGCCAGTGGGATTTGCGATCTAGGGGTGGTCGCTTTGAGGTGTCCTGCTTGGCAGGCGCGTCATAGTGTTTGCGCCGGCGCCGTTTTCGTTGCCCTGTCGTGCAATCGGCTCGTTTTGGCGGGCCTGAAACATGCCAAAATTGGTCGAAATCATTCTAGCGCCACAGTCCCGTGCTAGTTTTGGATGCGTGTCGTAAACGTGTCAGAGTTGGATTTCGTGGCAGGTCCAGCACTTTGGATGATTTTGAGTTCGTGGCAAGCTTACTTTGCATGACAGGTGCAGCAGTTTCGAGCGTTTTGATTGAATTTCGTGGCAGGCGCGGCGCTTTGGAGCTTTTCGTGCAAATTTCGTGGCAGGCGCAGTACTTTGGTGCCTGGGTGTAGATTTCGAGGCAGACTCTGACGCAGCGAGATCTCACTGTGAGAACGCGAAGCGAACCCTCTGCGCATTTTGGGTGGGTCGAATCGCTCTCGCTGTGGCGCGGTGCGCATTTTGAGTGCGCCTGGGTGTAGATTTCGTGGCAAGCACGTCACTTTGACTCAGCAAGATCGCTCTCGCTGTGGCGCGGTGCACATTTTGCGAACGAGAAGCGAACCTTCTGCGCACTTTGGGTGGGTCAAATCTCTCTCGCTGTGGCGCGGTGCGCATTTTGAGCATGCGAAGCGAACCCTCTGCGCACTTTGCGTGGGTCAAATCGCTCTCACTGTGGCGCGGTGCGCATTTTGAGCATGCGAAGCGAACCCTCTGCGCACTTTGCGTGGGTCAAATCGCTCTCACTGTGGCGCAGTGCGCATTTTGAGCGTGCGAAGCGAACCCTCTGCGCACTTTGGGTGGGTCAAATCGCTCTTGCTGTGGCTCGGTGCGCATTTTGAGCATGCGAAGTGAACCCTCTGCGCGCATTAGGTGGGTCGAATCGCTCTCGCTGTGGCGCGGTGCACATTTTGAGCGCTTTGGGCGGGTCGAATCGCTCTCGCTGTGGCGCGGTGCGCATTTGGAGACAGAAGTGTCGTTCAGAAGTGCCGAAAGGTGTCAGTCGGAAGTGTGGTTCAGCAGTGCTGCTCAAACTGTCGATCAGAAGCGTCAAGCAGAAGTGCGGACCAAAGTGTTGCTCAAAAGTGTCGAGCAGGAGTGTTGCTCAGAAAAGTCGATCAGAAAAAGTGTCTCTCAGAAGTGTTGCTCAGAAGCGTCGATCAGAAAAAGTGTATTTCAGAAGTGTTGATCAGGGGTCGCTCAAAAGTGTCGCTCAGAAGTGTCAATCAGAAGTGTGGGTCAGAAAAGTCGATCAGAAAAGCTGTCGATCAGAAGTGTTGCTCAGAAGTGTCGCTCAGAAGCGTCAATTCAGCAGTGTTGCTCAGAAGTGTCGTTCAGAAGTGTCGATGAGCATTGTGGATCAGAAGTGTTGGTCAGAAGTGTGGCTCACAACTATCGATGAGAAGTGTGGATCAGAAGTGTTGCTCATCAGTGGCAATCAGAAGTGTGGGTCGGAAAAGTCGATCAGAAAAAGTGTCGGTCAGAAGTGTTGCTCAGAGGTTTTGATCAGAAAAAGTGTGGTTCAGCAGTGTTGATCAGGTGTCGCTCAGAAGTGTCGCTCAGAAGTGTCAATCAGAACTGCGGGTCAGAAGTGTTAAGCTCACTCAGAAGGCTCGATCAGAAGTGTTGCTCAGAAGTGTCGCTCAGAAGCGTCAATTCAGCAGTGTTGCTCAGAAGTGTCGTTCAGAAGTGTCGATGAGCAGTGTGGATCAGAAGTGCTGGTCAGAAGTGTTGCTCAGAACTGTAAAAGTGCGGGTCAGAAGTGTTGCTCATCAGTGTCACTCAGAAGTGTGGTTCAGCAGTGTTGATCAAACTGTCGATCAGAAGTGTGAAGCAGAAGTGCGGATGAAAAGTGTTGCTCAAAGTGTCGATCAGGAGTGTTGTTCAGAGCAGTCGATCAGAAATACTGTCGCTCAGAGGTGTCGATCAGAAAAAGTGTGCTTCACAAGTGTTGATCAGGTGTCGCTCAAAAGTGTCGCTCAGAAGTGTCAATCAGAAGTGTTGCTCAGAAAAGTCGATCAGAAAAAGTGTCGCTCAGAAGTGTTGCTCAGAAGTGTCGATCAGAAAAAGTGTGTCAGAAGTGTTGATCAGGTGTCGCTCAAAAGTGTCGCTCAGAAGTGTCAATCAGAAGTGTTGCTCAGAAAAGTCGATCAGAAAAAGTGTCTCTCGGAAGTGTTGCTCAGAAGCGTTGATCAGAAAAAGTGTGGTTCAGAAGTGTTGACCAGGTGTCGCTCAAATGCTGCTCAGAAGTGTTGATGAAAAGGGTTCCTCAAAAGTGTCGGTCAGAAGTGTCGATCAAATCAGCAGTGTTTCAGAAGTGTCGTTCAGAGGTGCCGATGAGCAGTGTGGATCAGAAGTGTTGGTCAGAAGTGTTGCTCAGAACTGTCGATGAGAAATTTGGATCAGAAGGTGTCAATCAGAAGTGTGTTTCAGCAGTGTTGCTCAAACTGTCGATCAGAAGTGTCAAGCAGAAGCGCGGATCCAAATAAGTGTTGCTCAGAAGTGTCGATCAGAAGTGTTGCTCAGAAAGGTCGATCAGAAAAAGTGTCGCTCAGAAGTGTTGCTCAGAAGTGTTGATCAGAAAAAGTGTGGTTCAGCAGTGTTGATCAGGTGTCGCTCAAAAGTGTCGCGCAGAAGTGTCAATCAGAAGTGTGGGTCAGAAGTGTTGCTCACTCAGAAGTCTCGATCAGAAGTGTTGCTCAGCAGCGTCGCTCAGAAGCGTCAATTCAGCAGTGTTGCTCAGAAGTGTCGATGAGCAGTGTGGATCAGAAGTGTTGGTCAGAAGTGTTGCTCACAACTATTGATGAGAAGTGTGGATCAGAAGTGTTGCTCATCAGTGTCAATCAGAAGTGTGGTCCAGGTCCAGCAGTGTTGCTCAAACTGTCGACAAAAGTGTTGCTCAAAAGTGTTGCTCAGAAGTGTTGTTCAGAAAAGTCGATGAGAAGAAGTGCGGTTCAGAAGTGTTGACCAGGTGTCTCTCACAAGTGTCGCTCAGAAGTGTCAATCAGAAGTTGTTCTCAGACGTGTCGCTCAGAAGTCTAGCGCAAGCTGGAAAATCGCAGCTTTGTAGCACAAGTATCGCGCGCGAAGTACAGGCTTCTTGAAAATCACAACTTTCAAGAGCAAGTCTAGTGCACGAAGTACAGGTTTCCAGCTCCAGCTCGAAAATCGCAACTTTGTAATACCAGTCTAACGCGCAAAGCACAGGCTTCCAGCTCCAGCTGGAAAATCGCGACTTTGTAGTACGCGAAGCGCAGGTACGCGAAGTCCAGCTCTAGCTGGAAATCACAGCCTTGTAGTACAAGCCTAGCGCACGAATTACAGGTTTCCAGCTGTAGCTGGAAAATCGTAACTTTGGCAAGTCTAGTGCGCGAAGTGCCAGTTTCCAGCTCCAGCTGGAAAATCGCGACTTTGTTGCACAAGTCTAGTACGCGAAGTACAGGTTTCTAGCTCTAGCTGGAAAATCGCGACCTTGTAGTACAAGTCTAGTACGCGAAGTACAGGGTTCTAGCTCTAGCTGGACTTTGTAATACAAGTCTAGTACGCAAAGTACAGGTTTCCAGCTCCAGCTGGTAAATTGCGACTCTTTAGTACAAGTCTAGTACGCAAAGTACAGGTTTCCAGCTCTAGCTGGAAAATCGCAACTTTGAAGTACAAGTCTAGTGCGCGAAGTGTGCAGGTTTCCAGCACTAGCTGGAAAGTCACAACTTTGTAGCGCAAGTGTAGTACGTGAAGTACAAGTTTCCAGCTCTGGCTAGAAAATCGCAACTTTGAAGTGCAAGTATAGTACGCGAAGTACAGGTTTTGAGCTCCAGCTCGAAAATCGCAACTTTGTAGTACAAGTCTAGTACGCAAAGTACAGGTTTTCAGCTCTAGCTGGACAATCGCAGCTGTGTAGCGCAAGTCTAGTGCGCGAAGTACCAGCTCCGGCTGGAAAATCGCAACTTTGTAGTCCAAGTCTCGCGCGCGAAGCGCAGGTGTCCAGCTCATTGAAAATCGTAGCTTTGTAGCAACAAGTGGAGCACGCAAAGTACAGTTTTACAAGCTGAAATGCATAGTTTGCGCAGTAGGCTTGATTGCGAGCCCCATTGGCTTATACCGAAACATGTTCTCTCTAATTATTTTCTTGGGCTTGCGCAAAGTGATGTGCATTCGGGTTCGTGGGCTGTGTCTTGTGTTTTTTGGGAAGCCTGACTGACCACAATGTGGGAGTTTTGATCATCGCAGATCTGTAAGTTTGGATGATCCTGCCGCATGGAACTCAGGAGGAAATTTCATTTAAGAGGGATTGTTGGCATGGGGATTTAGGTTGAGAATTGCACCTTTGTTTTGTAGCCAATATTTTCACCAAAGTTGTTTGTCCGGGTTTTCCTTTTTTATCGTGGCTGTGCCCATTGTCAATTGTGGTGCGCGCGGGTTGGAATGATGTTTTATTTCAATCGGCTTGGATAAAGGAATTTGTGCATTTGTAAATTTGCGCACGCGTCGTCGATGTTTGACGATTTGCCTGCCTTGCCCCTCATACGTCATGAGGACATGTATGCGGCCATATGCTTGTTTTTTACAATACTCTCCCCATTTCTCATGTTGCCATGGCAATTTGCAGCTTGCCGTGGTGTGTCATGCCGCGCAACCCACGCGGACGTATGATGGCGTGGGAGTTTGGTGGTACTCGGGTGGGCTGAGATGTATAGTAAGCAAACGTTTGACGCACACACCGCAAGATCGGGATTTCTTTGCAGGATTTGCTCAGTCGAGTTCTGCTACATTTGCCCATAGAACATCGATGGCCCTGGTTGAGCTCGTTGTTTCTACATCTTCCCAAAAGGACCCCAATGTTACCCCGGATTGATAAACCCCTGGTTGATTAACAGCGGGGGTGTCCCCTTTTAGTGGGGATCTAGAATACTTTTGGAGGGAACACCCCCCTAATAGTGGGACGGGGTTATTAATCCTGGGTCAACATTGTGCCGGTGCCTGGCTCCGCAAGGAAAGACATCTTGGGCATCTATGTCTTTTCGGACACCGGGCCGGCTCTTTCTGTCAAGCCGAACGGGTTCCAGTGGTCGGTCACGATCAAAGCCACTTGGCCTGACGCAAAATCCCACGAAATCGCAACACGACATGACACCAGGGGAATGAAACCAGAACGTATCTGTTGGTATTTACGTGGAATCTAAAAAAATAAAGTCCGTTGGGTTTCTGAACGGTGCGAGTTTTGGATGACTCGCAACCGTCCACAGCGTCAGCTTGACACAGTTGGGATTCCAGGTGCCCTTGTGATCACAGGAATAACAACAATGGTTGAACAACTGTGCATGTGTGTGTGTGTCTAAATGTGTGTGAATGTGTGGATGCGTGATTCCAGGTGCCCTTGTGATCACAGGATTAACAAGGATTGAACAAGTGTGCGTGTGAGTGTGTAAATGTATGTGAATGTGTGAATGCGTGTGAATGTGAATGTGTGAGCGTGTGTGAGTGCGCGTGTGAGTCTGTACATGTGTGTGTATGTGAATATGTGTGTGTGTGGGTGATGAATGAGTGAATGCGGGTGAGTGTGCGTGTCCACAGATGTATGTTACAAGGGGTGGGGTATGCCTTGGAGTGGAGTTCCATCGAATCAGCGTGGCCGTTTAGTGTTTGTTGTTTGTACCGTCTTGTGTTTTGTGTCAGCCTTTGTGTGTGTCGTGCGTGCATGCTGCGTGCAGGCATGCGTGCTTGTGTCGCATCTGCCTCCATTAACACAAGACTTTCCTTGGTCTCCACGAAGGCATGCAGTCCAACTGCGCGCAGCGCGTGTCTTTTCTCTCGGCTGGGCCTCGAGTTCCTTTTGCTTTGTGACAGCGCAACATTTTCTGGGGATTTTGGTGAGTGTCGGCAAGGAGCAACAAATCCCGAGAGCATGGATGATATATGAACGAAACAAGGCCTGTTTCAGGGCCGCTTCTGCGGAAAAATAATGCTGGTATAGTCTTACTCTTGGTTTGCCGAGAGGACGAGCTGCATTTCGCACAAAAATCAATACTTTGTCCGTAGCTCAAAGTGCAAAATATGTTTGATATACATTACGTGCACGTCCTCGGCGTGCATGTGCGACGTTCCCTCCCACCAACAGAAGCAACCGCTTCTGTGGTTTGGGTTCGTTGCGTGCCGGGGTGTGGTTTTGACCCGCTTGCAGATGGGGCAACGGTTCGGCATGTCACAGAGCTTGCCGGATTTTGTCAGAGGTGCCAGCGGTGTACCTCATTTCATGTGTCTGGAGGGATCGCTTCACCTACTCGGAAGCAAGCTGTAGGGCGATGGCATACGTTGGACATGTCCACTGCGCAACTGAGCCAAGGATTCTGCCAGTTTCAAGACGCAGAAGGATTTGCTGCTTGGCTTTAAACAATTCATAAGTGAGAAAGTGCACCCACAGCTCCGGCAAGGTCTTTGTGTCACGCACCTTGATCCACTTGAGCTTTGCGCTCGGGATTTCACCGATTGGAAGATGCGTATTGAATTTGGTGTGTTTGATGAACTGAGGAATATCACTGTGGTTTCCTCCGACCTTGATTGCGAAGTAATCAGCCTTTATGTACGGGCCTCAGCCGGATCGGTGCATGAAGCTGCTGCATGGCCGAATGAAGGAGCGGGCGGATTCTTCAGATGTCTTTCCGATCCATAGCTCAAAAGTGATAAGATGTGAGAAATCTCGGGATCGTTGGAGCCTTTATGCGGGTTTCCGTAAGAGACAGTTTAAGATGTTGGGGTGTTGGTCACTATCTCGGCCATACATGACTTGCCCACCGATCTCCAGTTCTCATGAAGAACCGGCAATAGTACGGGAAGCGGATTATAGACTACACCCCAGGAAAAACATGAGAGTGTTTCTCAGGCTTGGGCCAAGTTTGTGGAATGCTCACCTGAAACGGCCGGAAGCCCAAAACGAGGCGCCGTGCAAACAGCCCAGCCCAAACGGAGGCCCTGCAAATGGCGAAAACGGAGGCTGGCTGAAGGGGCTCCCTTCATGATTTCTCTTTCGACGCGGGCAGGGGAGCTTCCATGCCAGCACCCTTGAGGCGGGGATGCGACTCGAATTTTCTCAAAATGAGTCAGACAGATGCTGAGCACCTGACCAGAGTTCTAGTGCCTCCGTTCCATGTCCATTCTTGGCTCATTGGGATCCGGATCTTTTCAGGAAACCTCGGCAAGCGCAGGGAAACGGAGCCGTTTGAAAAGAACCATGGTTGAATGGAAAAGGAATCAAGCCGAGCGCAAGCCACTGCACAGCTGCGGTCCAGTGTTTTGAGAGATTCAGAATGAACCCAGGATCCCCTTGAAACCCACAAGAAATGGTTATTTACCCCTTATTAAGTGGGTTGGAAACCACGGAAGCCATGGGGTATGAACGAGGGATATGTACTTCCCTGGATTTAAGAAACCCATAAGGAATGGTTCACTTCGAAGTCGCTCTTTGATTCGCTCCTTCCATTTCGAGATCGGCAGCCTCGACTTTGGCTGACGGTCCGGGCCTCTAAGCTTCTTGCCAGGAAGTGGAGACGCCGAAGGAGATTTGCCTTTGCACCTTGGAAAATCTCAGCCGATTTTGCAAGAATCCGCTGAGAAAGCTGGGAGGGTTTTCTGGAGGTGAAGGAACCCTTTTTAGGAATTGGGCCCCCCAAGCTGACGGGTTTCCTCCTGGTGTCCCTTCAAAACCACCATGATGGGGTACCCTTCCTCAAAAACAAGGACAGGCCCAGGGCCATGGGTCAAAATCCCGTACCCCCAGTGAACATCCCAATCCCCACTCAAATAGACTAAAATGGGTGGTGCACCTACCTCAAAATGGTACCACTTGTTTTGACCCACAGCCATATGTCTTTTTGTGTCGGCCACAGCCAAGATGACGTTTCCGCGATGCCATGCCCGATGTATGGCTGGAAGCCAACCAGGCCGCTTGGCATCGCAACGCGTGACGCGCAAGCATCGACAAGTTATCTTTGCAGTGGATCAGCGCTTCTTGGGCTCGTTTGTGGTTTCTCTATCTCTCTCTCACTCTCTGTTTGACACACACACACACATAAATATATATACATATATATGTGATCACATCCAGCGCTCAAATTTCTGCACGCTGCATTCGCCTGTTCAGTCCAATGGCCTCCAGCCGAGGACATTCCGAGTTGACCTAGATATGTTCCGGCGACTTTTGCTGAGTGATGCTTACAAGAAGGCCCTCTACTTCCTCTCAGGCTGGACGCTTGCTAGGCATCACCCAAAGATTCATTCAAGGTCAAGAACTCCTCACCTTTTGGTAGCTTTGGTCCCGAATGGTCCCAAGCCGAGCAACTTTTCCATGGGTGGCTCTTTGGAATGGGACCCCCAAGTACGGTCTGTTTTTTTTCCCCCAGGGGTTGATTCCTTTTCCATTCTTTTCAACCATCGTTCTTTTCAAACACCGGCTGTTGCCCCTGGGTTTTTGATGGTTTCCTCAAAAGATCCGGATCCCTGGAAAGAATGGAAATGGAAGGTACCCCTATATTTTTTCCTCTTCGTTTCCTTTACCAAAACGGGGCCGCTTAGAAGACGAGCCACCCATCTCTTCCATGGGCTTTCGACCTTTGCAGGTACCACCACCTGTTACTCCGTCCAGGAACAGCTCGGCCAGGAGCAGGCCGGAAGGGTGATGGCCAGATCGAAGAGCGTCGAATCTGGGTGCATTTATACAGAACATGGCTATGGATCAATAATTTTACCAGGAAAACCGCAGGTGTTAGTCCTTGTTTCCATTTGTCACAACCCATTTTGGGGTTACCCAATTTTTCACCCACAGCCATATGTGCTGGTTGTTCCAAGAGGAAGCCACAAGAAAATAGACAGTTGTTTTTTCCCCGGACCTGAAGCCTATGTCGCCAGTGCTGTGAGAGATTACTCCCAGAAATGGATCAGTAGTTGGCAACAAAAGATGCGATGGCCGTCGGACACTCGATGCGCTGAGATCACGGTGTCCCTGCGCCACGTTCCCGGCGTCAAGCTTGCCGTTGCCTCAGATGGGCCGAGCGTGTCAGATACGGGCTCGGGGAACGGAAGAGTCTGACTGGACGTGATTCAAATGTTTGGCAGTGCAAGGATATCATAGGAATCACGTCTATCGTTTGGAAGATTGGGGGAGACAACCCAAGGTTCCCACATATTTTTCTTGGGGACAACCCAACATTTTCCCATGAGAGCGGGAGAGCAAAGAAGATTGTCCGTGAGTCACATTCCCCACCTCCCGACCTTGCCTCGGGTTTGACGGACGATCGCCTGGCTGCACTCTCAGGGTGCCTCGATCCATGTGCCCAATCGACCTGGACTTAATTGGCATCTCAATAGGAAATGCACATTTGAGCCTTGGCAAGCATTCTAAGAGCCGAAAACTGGCATTGCCAGACCAAAGGCTACCTTTGTCACCCTTCACCTTTTTCCCATTCAGCCGGCAGTTTTTGCAGTCCAAGTCTGGCTGAGTCATCTTGCACGCTGGTCGGATAGCTGGCTTCGCAGTCTAAGGACGACAGTCACCACGGCAAGTGCGAGATCACCATGTCGCAATCAGGCAAGCAGAACGAGATTGCGAAGGTGAGACACTTTAGGTTTTTCTGTTTTAGACAGCTAGTTGGGAAATGCCAGGAAAATAGGTGTCCTTTTTAGGTGAGTTTGGTTACAAATAGATGGCACTGGCTTAGATGGGGTCTATTCCATTTACCAGTGCCATCTATTTGTCCAAAAGGCCACCTATGGCCAGGAGTGATGGATGCTCACGATGTTTGGTCAGTGACACTTGGGCCAGGGTGATGGCAGCACCTCCGAGAGACGCTTGACATGTTGCCCGCTTAACAGGGGAACCCGCAAAATTAGTGGTTTTCTGTACTTCTCCCTTTAAAAAAATCAACACTGTGTCAGCCATCTCGCAGGTATCGTCAACAGCACGCAAGGCGACTTGGTACTGGATGCGGATGGGACCCCTCGGACATCATTTCAGGATTTGTGTCCAACCAGTACAGGCCCGCCCCCCACCCCCCAACCCCCCCAACAAACATGGCTTGCTTGTTGCGCGAATCTCATGTCTTGCGGATGAAGCTTTCACAATTCTGACAAGGGTGACACCATCATGGCTATACTGTAGAGCTCGCAGACCTGTACACGGGCGTCCAACAAGATTTGACTTGCTGTAACGCACCATTGTTGGTTGCAACTGGTGAATGTTGTTTCAACCGCGAGCCTTTGGTCCCCTTTACATGGAAACCAACAAAAGTTAGAGCCATAGCGGTTCAAACATGTTCAAACCAGAGTTGGCCGTCTCTCAGGAGACCTGGCCTACCTGAGCATCATCTACAAAGATCCGGATGTGGACTGCCTGGCAGAATGGCAATCATGCTCGGACCGAGCCGGGAGTTTTTTTTTTCTCCCGCGCGATTGAACTCAATTCGTAGGTTCCAGATGAACCGCATGGTTCTGGAAAGATGTGGCGTAACGCATTGAACATTGGTTTGTGAAAACCGCCGTTTTAACTCTTTTTAGAAGTGACCAGCCAACCCCAAAATTACAGACTTGGTTGAGAAGCATGGCAGGGACAGCCTTAACATATTCGAGGGAAGGCAAGCAAAGGAAGAATCTAAGCGACAGGACTGAATCTAAGCGACAGGACTGCGGAAAGGTATGGAAGGCTGAATGAGTATCCAGTTTGTTTGCTGCCGCTTTTCAACTGAAAACTGGAGGGCAAAGGCGTCAGATTGCGCTTGCACAATGTCGCGTACCAGACAATTTGAACCTGTGCCCGTGATCGCGACCGGAGCGACGGAAGCTAGACTTCATCCTTTGTTTGCCTTTTTGCCCGCTTGGCCAATGCGGTTGTCATAAGGGTAACCCCTGGTGAAACAAGAAAACCACCCACTTGCGGGGTTCCCGATTTTTATGCACCCCTACTGTGGATGGACAAAATCCTACACCACCTGAAAGATCCTGGAATGAATGATTCCCCTTTGAATACCAACAAACAATGGCTTCCCATGGTTTCAAAGTGGTGCGAGAAGCGGATTTCGTCCATCCACAGCATCTTTGGCAGGACGGCATGGAGGTGTTGCACCTGGAAAGCGCGCATTTGCCGCCTTCTGCCTGCGAGTCCATTTGGAGCTCAACCGACAAGGCGCTCTTGACCGAGGCTTGAGGGGAAGAACTTGGTGCTTCTCAAAATGGGTGTGTCCTTCTTTAGCTTCCATTTGCTTAAGACTATTTGTTCCCCTGTTGGTTTCAAAGGGAATCTATCACCACTGGAAATATGTTTTTTTTCCAGGGGTCTTAACCAAATGGAAGTTAGGAGACCCCCCAAAATGGTGGTTTTCCCTTTGGCTTCCATTTCAAGACATCCCAAAAGGATACCCTCAAAACAGACATTCAGATCGTGTTGCCCCCAAATGGTTGTTTCCTTTTGCTTTCCCTTCTACCTACCAAAAGGGGGTCTACCGTCTTGAGACACCCACAACTGAGCTTGTTAGTTGGCCTTCTTAGGGGGTTCCCTACCCGTTAAAAGAGGTCCATGTCCCATGTTTGGAACCTTTCGCTGGATTGATGCTTGTCAAAACGCACGGCGCACAGGGCGGTATTGCGTGCCGAAAATTCTTGCATTTTCCAAACGGCCTTTTCCAGAGGAAGGTCGTCTTCCATCTTCCGAAATCCTTTGTCTACTTCCGTGATTGGAGTGTGAGTATCTTCAGTGATTGCCTTGAGATTGATGAATCGAAAAGCAAGCCACCGCTTGACAAGACTGATTGCTCAGTGCAACAGGTAGATTGGCCTTGAGATTTATTTATATTGAGAATGGCCGGAGGTGCAAAGGATGGACTCGTAAGAGACTTCAAGCTACTGTGGATGGACGAAATCCTGCACCACCTAAGAAAACCTGGTTTCTGATGATTTCAACCATGGTTTCATTTCGTGGTGCGAGAAGCGGATTTCGCGTCACCACACCCACACCCACACCCACACCCACACCCACACCCACACGCACACCCACACCCACACCCACACCCACACCCACACCCACACCCACACCCACACGCACACCCACACCCACACGCACACCCACACCCACACGCACAGACACACACCCACACCCACAAGGCTTCAGATTCTTCCTGCGGCAAATTTGCACACTCTGCGTTTTGGGTGCGGAACCTTCTTGCGGTCCCTGAACATCCCATCATCTATTCAGGCATCATGGCAAGTACGCGGCCCAGCAGAGACAAGACACTAGCAGAATCCCATGTCTGCATCATTGAAGAGATCACCTGTATGGCTGCCATTTCATCCAAGCATCATCGCTTCGGGCGCAACGTAAACCTTTCCTCGTCATGCTCGACTTTCGCAAGTCTCCTTTGGAGGCCAACCCACTGCAAGCAGAAAAATGTCTTGGCGAGTCACTTTTGGTCTGGGTCTAAAAGAGTTGCCGCTCACTCACAGCCCTTGCACATGCGTGTCATGGTCGGGGAGCAAGAGACCGCTTTCAGCAATCTCCCTTTCACACTGAGCCTTGCTGGCGGCACTCCCGAGCTGTGAGAAAAAGCTGCCTGTGCGGCTTGTTCTGAAGCCCAGAGCCCGCCAGCAAGTCTTGAAGGCTCTGCCAAGCTCCCGTGCCTCATTCTCCATTTGGCAAACTAGTTGTGCGGGGGGTGGGGCGGGGCAGGGCGGGGCGGGGCGGGGCGGGGCGGGGCATGGTCGGGGAGCAAGAGACCGCTTTCAGCAATCTCCCTTTCACACTGAGCCTTGCTGGCGGCACTCCCGAGCTGTGAGAAAAAGCTGCCTGTGCGGCTTGTTCTGAAGCCCAGAGCCCGCCAGCAAGTCTTGAAGGCTCTGCCAAGCTCCCGTGCCTCATTCTCCATTTGGCAAACTAGTTGTGCGGGGGGTGGGGCGGGGCAGGGCGGGGCGGGGCGGGGCGGGGCGGGGCGGGGTGCGGTGGGGTGGGAGTGGGGTGGGGGTGGGGGTGGCGGTGGGAAGTGGGTGGTGTGGGTGGGTGGGTGCGTGCGTGCGTGCGTGCGTGCGGGCGGGCGGGGGGGCGGGCGGTACGGGCCGGCGCGCGGGCGCGCGCGGGCGCGCGCGTGCGTGCGTGCGTGCGTGCGTGCGGGTGGGTGGGTGGGTGGGTGGGTGTTTGTGCGTGCGTGCGTGCTTGCGTGCGTGCGTGGGTGGGTGGGTGGGTGAGTGGGTGTCTCTGTGTGTGTCTCTGTGTGTGTGTGTGTCTCTGTGTGTGTGTGTGTGTCTCTGTGTGTGTGTTTCTGTGTGTGTGTCTCTGTGTGTGTGTCTCTGTGTGTGTGTGTGTGTGTCTCTGTGTG